TTTTGGTCCAGGGTCACAAATGGTCTGTTTTTACCTTATTTGGAAGGATCATGAATAATAATTTTGAGCTCTGCTCTGATTGGCTGTTTCACAGTGCAGCTCATATCAGTAGCTCACACGGCAGGAAGGAAACACAGGGAAAATATATATTTCAATACTGTCTCTCGCCGTTATATCGTTGGGTACTTATACTGTATATAAAATGCGGGCATCAGGGAGCCGCTATTAATATGCGGGGCATTGAAACTGCTTTCGAATGCACGATGGCTTTTTACTTTCACTTTCAAGATTTGCAATCGCACGTGCTCTGTAAACTACAGCGGCAGTACTTACCACACATTTTACAAGATCAGATGCTTGTCAGTAGTGCTCAGGATCTGTAAATCATTTGCCTTTATCCTCAGTCATCTCTCCTTACTCTGTTTATGTGGTAAGTGAAATCTTATGTCCTGTGATGTAACAGGCTACTGCTAGAAAGCAGCTAACCATGTCCCTTTAGTGGCTCACATTATTTTATTAGAACGTGTTATTTGTTTTCCGTGCCTTTCTGAATACAGACACCAACCCATCCCTGCACATCACATCCCCTGCACAGCCTGGAACATTATTAATATGCGGGGCATTGAAGCTGCTTTCGAATGCACGACGGCTTTTTACTTTCACTTTCGAGATTTGCGATCGCACGTGCTCTGTGTAAACTACAGCAGCAGTACTTCCCACACATTTTACTAGATCAGATGCTTGTCAGTGGTGCTCAGAATCTGTAATTCATTCGCCATCATCCTCAGTCAATGTACTGTAATATAACAGGCTACCGCTAGCAAGCAGCTAACCATGTCCCTTTAGTGGCTCGCGTTATTTTATTAGAACGTGCATTATTTGTTTTCCGTGCCTTTCTGAATACAGACACCAACCCATCCCTGCACATCACATCCCCTGCACAGCCTGGAACATAACATTTATTTCCATGATCTGCCATTTTCGCTATTATCCTCGCTTGTTTCTTCACAATACCTGCAGAACTTCTGATGATTGGGCTGTGCAGGTTCGGCTGGCGGCAGGCATAGAACATGGGCAGGTATATGCAAATGTCGGGGGCGTAACTATTAGTGATCCCGACTGTAACGTCACAGTCGGTGTTATGTTCTGATTCGCCTATTTTTCAGTGGTCTTTTGCATGCATGAGATTTACATAAGAAGGAGAAAACAATGGTGTTTGAGGCTTACGGTATGTCATTTCCATGTACAGAACTGTTATTATTCAACTATGCCAAGGTAAATACAGTTTTCCATTCTATGGCACCTTTAATCAATTGTTCAAAAAGAATCACAAACTCATGCATTACTGGTTGTTACTGAATCGCTCACTTACTTATAATATATATTACCTGTTACATGAAAATGTGTAGAGACTTTTGCAACAGAATAATTTTTGCAAAACTTATTAATATTTTACATTTATTATATAGTGGACAGTGCAATTTTATAAGAAACACTTAGTAAAGTAAAGAACATTTCCCTTAAAAAACAGATCAGTTTGCGCTATATAAAGCAAAGAACCAAAGGGAGCAATATAATAAGTCAAAATGACTTTGTTTTTGTCTGGTTTGATTATGCTGCAAATGCAACGAGAGAGCAGCATGGCACCTTTGACCTGCAATGACTCACCACATAATCATAGCCATTGACATGTACTCATAGGTTTTACAATGCAAATGGTAACAATACAGCCCATTTCTGTTTCAAACCTGTCTCTTGAGACCTGGCTAGAGCAAAGGAGGTACTGTACTGTTAAAACAACTAGCTTAACATGGACACCCCGCATTGCAGAGCCCAATGGTTAAAATGGTTAAAAGGATCTGAAGGCAGCGCTTCCTACAATGCTTTTGATCACTTTAAAGTAACCCTAAAGCTAGACAGTGAAATCAGTTTGTGTTAGGGTTCTGATTCACTGGCCTGGTTTTGTTTTTCTCTGTAACAACAATCTTCCTAAACCTAAAAAATGTACTTGATGTGGTAACATGATAATTATTTTATTTTTTTTAATGAACCATATTATTAAATATGAGTGAATCAATCTGACTGCAGTCAGGAAGAAACAGATCTTAATGGAGAAAAAAAAAAAATCATGTGGAAGCCAAAACTGAATCGCATGTTGACATTTGTAGACCTCACTCTTAAAAAGAGTTGAAGCTTATTGTGATCATGTGATAAAATTTCAAAGAAAATTTGTGTCCTTAATATTACAGGGGTCTTATTATGCTTTTTCACTTTTTCAACTTTAGTTAGTCTGTAATGTTGCTATTTGAGCATAAAAAATATCTGCAAAGTTACAAAGCTCAAAGTCCAATTCAAAAGGAGATATTTTATTTAACAGAAATCATTTTTCAAAAACTACAATGAACGACTCGTTTGGACTACAACGCATAATTTCCGGGATTTGTGATATCACCATAGACTGTATCACAAATATCGACGAATGGGACGAGACCTGGTTGAGCTGCACTAGAGAAGGCAGCAAGTGTTATCACTATGTCGGAGACACGCTAGCTTTCCCAAGGCAGACAAACTTAGAGTGGTTACAATGATCAGGGTTTAAATCGCGCTCAAATTGATTTGATATTGACACAATATTTACGCTGAAACGCACAGGCGGCTATGGTAAAGGGCATGACATTTCCCGACCAGGCGCCGAGTGCTGCCAATCACAACACACACTGGCCCAGCTAACCAATCACAGCACATTTCGTATTTCAGAACTATTCGAGCCGTTCATGCCAGACTGGGGAGAGAGGTGTTGTAATAATGTAAAATATGTGAAAAATAATGTTTTTCAAACAACCTAGTATGAGAGCCTGTTCTAGTACACCCCCAAAACAAAATCAAGACTTTGTAAAAGAGCATAATAGGACCCCTTTAAGAAAACTCGTAAGTGACATTTGAAATTTTGTAATAGACAACAACTCAATAAGCTTCTAATGTGACCATAGACTGTATAAAAACATAGACGTAGTGTCCGTGACGTTACCCGTAAGTTCCTGAAGAGCGTTTTTGAAGCTCAAAGTGGGCAGAGCCGGCCGTCGCCATCTTGGCAGCGCGTCACCACGCGTCACTCCCGGATAATCGAAAATGGGCAAAAAGGCGGGAGCTGGTTGCTGAAACCACGCCCACCTAGCTCGACAGTGGTGACGGCAGCGGGCGTTTAAAGACCCCTTTAAAGTTGTAGGCTACTCATTTTGTAAAAGCAATACGGCATTTGAGGCCATGTTATTTTGTGAATATAGTCACCTTACTGCTTAATTCTGTAATGCTTTGATTCTGATTTTTTTGCAATTTAAATGTTCAGAAAAGGACAATTCAAATATAAATGTCATGAAAGGACTGAAATTAATACTTTTATTCAGCAACGATCCATTAAATTTATCAAAAGAGACATTAAAGACTTTTACAATGTTACAAAAGATTTCTATTTCAAATAAATCCTGTTCTTTCTATTCATTAAAGAATCCTGAAGAAAATATTAAGCAGCACAACTGTTTTCAACATTAATAATAATAATAAATGTTTCTTAAGCATCATATCAGCATATTATAATGATTTCTAAAGAATCGTGGGACACTGAAGGCTAGAATAATGGCTGCTGAAAAATCAGCTTTGATCAAATAAATGCAGCCTTCATGAGCATAAGAGACTTATTTCCAAAACATTAAAAAAAATCTTACTAACCCCAAACTATCTTTCCTGACAGATTCAGTCATGTTTGTACATAAAATGCACTCCAAAAAAGCTCTTGAGCACTTGAACTGCCCCTCTAAAAATGTCTATTAAGCGGCATTGATCAAAACAGAGCTGCAAAAAGAACTGCAATGTTAGGTTGGTCGTCCAGACCGTAACACATAACACAATCTCAAATTCAGCCACTTTCCCCTCTGCAATATAACTTCCATGAATCACTTGCGCAAACTGCACAGGTAGGGACCTTCTTCATGCACCATTTCCCCTTCCATACATACACGGCCCATTCCTTCACAACACACACAAACACAACCGTTCACTTACCTTCCAGGCAGCAAATCCTCCAGAGTCCGGAGTGGGTGAGGGCTCCAGGATCCTTCTTGTCCTTGTTGTGGGGGTCATCCTGAGAGGAGTTGGCAGTGCTGTTGCAGATAAAGGCCCGAGCGTACAGCCAGTAGTCCGTGCCAATGGCCACGGTCATCAAGGCGAAGGCTGCGAATGCTCCCACAGTGGTGAGAAGCACCTGAATTCCCCGCTCGCACCACACCATGGCTGAAGTCATGAACAGAAACACGGCTCTGGTTAAACGAGGAGCTATAAGAGTATGAACAGAAAGCTTAGTGAAGTGGACAGTGTTGAAAAGATGGGTATAAATAAAAAACATGAAGAAAGATTGTAATCGGAGCCCAAGGTTACAGGAAGAAGTAGATGAGATGAACGTGTGATCCTGCAGAACATATCAAGTGTTGGGAGATCAGTTCACATTGCATTTTGTGAGGACATTTGAACCAAGATGCACAAATGACATCAGTGTGTCCAAATATAGGTTGCTGAGATGGTGAGCAAATGCCAATGCAACATTGGTGAAGAATGCACATCTCTGAATATACAATAAAAAAATAAATACTGCAATAAAGTGCAGAGGTCAAAAAGGTCACAGCTTTTAGATCATAACCAAACTGCTCATAGTCCCATGGGCACGTAGTTGCCAGGCAGTTACTGTGAACAGTCACGAGACAGTTGTAACTGAGCATTTCTTTGCATGGATAGATCTTTTATAAGGAGCAATTCAAGCATGTTGATCTGGGCGAAAGATATTTAGGGCTATGGTCCAGTGCTTCCTTGCAGAAGATTAGATTGTTTCTGATTAATAAAGCTAAATTTGTCCGCTGACTGAATGCATACTGCAAAAAATACATAGCTGAACCAAAATCTCTGTTCAGTGAATCTCAAATAGTGCTACAAGAACATATTAGAGCAATCACATGACTGACGTTTTATGTTTAATACAACACTTAAATGAAAAATTTATTGAAAAAATGATTTCGGTAACAGTGATACAAATTAAATTGATTATACATGGCCACCATTTCCTAACTATAGAAAATGATTATACATGGCCACCATTTCCTAACTATAGACGGTTGAATCTTTTTTTGTGCAAATTGAAAAAGAACCAGATTATTCATTGACATATTAAGGTATTCTTTGGAGAGTTTTTCCATATTATATTACTTTAGATAGACCATTACAAAATAACATAATGAACCCAAACATGAAAAACAGAGGGTAAAAAAGATCTAATATATATATATATATATATATACAGTGGTGTGAAAAAGTGTTGGCCCCTTCCTGATTTCTTATTTTTTTGCATGTTTGTCACACTTTAATGTTTCAGATCATCAAACAAATTTAAATATTACACAAAGATAATGCAAGTAAATACAAAATGCAGTTTTTAAATGATGCAATAATGTCCAGCTGAGTGTACGTTACACTACTTATTAAATATTATATTATATTATAAATATTATATTATTAAATATAAAAATATATGTAGATATGAAATACTGATCTATTAGTAATAGATTAGCTTTATATTATGAAAAATCGTTGATTACAACATGCAACAACACTCAGCACTATATATATATATATATATAGAGAGAGAGAGAGAGAGAGAACAAATCACAATTAATATTGAAATGGTATATGGATTTTTCACAAATTTTATTTTAATTTCATTTTTTTATATGTTTTATTTGTTTACATATTTGAATCTTTGTCTGGAATTGTTTGTCAACTCCTTGCGCTATGTGTGATTCCCTGAAAAAAAAAGAATTAAACTCCTTTGTTTTGTGCTCCTGGTCTCCGCGCTCCTCACAGTAGCAACACCTGACAATATTATTATATCATTATAGTTATTGTGTATATAATAATACATATATAATATAATATTAAATATATTAAAAATTATAAAAATGTAATCATCTTATTATAATTATATATTTATAATATGAATTTCTACATTATAATTATTCTGCAATTCAAGGTACTTTTTCTATGGACTACTTAGCTCAAATGTTTTGTTACAATATAACAATGTCTTCATGATCTGAGTGACATGAAAGTAGCACCGGCATGTTTCCATGGACAATGGTTTAGTGTCCAAAAAACATTTTACAGCTCAGTTCCACAATTGACCAATCAAGTATTCCAAATAGAGATCAGAGAAATAAAGCACACAATGAACTCATGAGAAACTAAGCAGAACGCATAAACTAAGACTGACAATGAACACTTCTGGAACATCTGAAGATGTCTGCAAGAAAGTTCCCAGATAAGACAACAGTAAGCTGAAAATGATGCCGTCATCCAGCAGAACACGTTCAGACTCTCACTCAAGAGCATTTCACTAAACATGACAACAAGCATAAGACACAGTGGTCTCTGCACAGCACCGGCAGCCATTAATGAGATCCGATTACCTGGAGGAATGTGTCTTCCCTTCCCATCCATTCCTGCAGCTCTCCGGTCCTTGTCACTGAAGATTGTACCAACCAGAGTGTCCAAGCAGCATCCATCGACTGTTATCCCTTGCTCTTTCTTTCTCCCCTCTTTCACGCTCCCCTCCACTCTCTCTTTCTTTCTTTCTCTCTCCCCCTGTCTCCTGCCCGTGGGTGGGTGTAGATTTTCTAGGTTTCGCTGCTTTTCTCCTCTTAGAGAGATTTCATGTCAGGAATCCTACTGCTTCTCCTCCTGAGGAGAAACAAACAATGAGAACAGAGCTGAAAGAGACACAACATGTTTAAGGTGCATGCTGGAGGGGAAAAAACAGCTTGAGATTGCATTCTTGCCATTAAAAGATCATTATCATGACAGCAGTACATGTATTTCATCCAGGCGAGCGGTGAATCTAGATGGTTACATCGCCCATACATCCGCGGGAAGAGCAAGGGATATATAAAGATAAAGAGAATAGAGAGAAAGCAAGACAGAGCGTGCGCCATTCCATCACCATGGCAACAGCGCATTCTGAAGTCGAGAACAGAACAGGATGGTGTGTGATGTTGGTGAGTGAGGTGATGCTAGTGTGTGTGTGTGTGTGTGTGTGTGTGTGTGGAGGGAGGGGGGGGTGGGCAGGCTGTATTC